ACTTATATGCAGAGCACATCATGAGAAAGGTAGGGCTAGATGAACCAAAAGTTGGAATTAAGATTGCCGGGAGAAATATCAACAACCAAAGATATGCAGATGATACTATTCTAATGGCAGAAAGTGAAGAGGAACTAAAGAGCCTCTTGAAGGAGAGAAGGTGAAGAAGGAGAGTGCAAAAGTTGGCTTGAAACTCAACATTAAGAAAATCAAGATCATGGCATCCGGCCCTCTCAATTCCTGGCAAATAGATGGGGAAGAAATGGAGGTAGTGACAGATTTTATTTTCCTGAGCTTCCAAGATCACTGCAGATGGGGACTGCAGCCAAGAAATTAAAAGATGCTTGCTCCTGGGGAGGAAAGCTATGGCAAATCTAGACAGCATACTAAAAAGCAGAGACATCACCCTGCCAACAAAAGTATGTATAGTCAAGGCCATGGTTTTTCCAGTTGCAATATATGGCTGTGAAAGTTGGACCATAAGAAAGGCTGAGCGCAAAAGAATTGAGGCCTTGAGAAGACTCCTGTGAGTCCCCTGGACTGCAAGGCGATCAAACTGGTCAGTCCTAGAGGAGATCAACCCTGACTGCTCTTTAGAAGGCCAGATCCTGAAGTTGAAACTCAAGTACTTTGGCCACCTAATGAGAAGGAAAGACTCACTGGAGAATAGCCTAATGCCTGGAAAGATTGAGGGCAATAGAAGAACGGGACGACAGAGAATGAGGTGGCTGGATGGAGTCACTGAAGCACTAGGCGTGAGCTTAAATGGACTCCAGAAAATGGTAGAGGACAGGAAGGCCTGGAGGAACATTGTCCATGGGGTCGCGATGGGTCGGACACGACTTCGCAACTAACAACAACATTGTAAAAAAATGTTAGTCAATTTGTCCTATGAGTAAATAGGTAATAGAATACAGTAACTTCAAAGTATGTCTAAAACCTACCACCAAGGGGGAAAAACATGAAAAAAACATTATCAGTGTAAAATCAAACTTTGGAGTATGAGGTTTAACTTGATCCAGTTTGGGATGGTAATTGCAGCAATTTAAAAAATACTTATAATGAAAATAAACTTGCATTAAATTATTCCATAGCTTTCCAAATATTTATTTACATTTATTAGATTTTTATCCTGCGGTTATTACTATGTAACTAACTCAAGATAGCCAACATACCTAATACTTCTTCTCCTTTTCTATTCCCCACGACAACAATCTTGTGAGATGGGTTGGGCACAGAGAGAGTGACTGGTCCAAGGTTATCCAGCTGGCTTTCATGCCTAAAGTGGGATTAGAATTCACAATTTCCTGGTTTCTTGGCCATCATCTTAACTATTACACAAGACTGGTTCTTGAATATAATATTAATATAATCAAATATTGATTTCAGTCTGTTCCAAACCTTTTTTCTAATGCATTAGATTAGAACATGCACTGAGGGATGAGAAACTTTATCATGTAGACAATTGCTACAGAAACTCAACAGCTGCCAAGTCATAACAACAACAACAATAATAATGCTGACTCCTAAAGACTGGGTGTCTTACCTTACAAATATAAAACAACAAAAGCAGTTGTTAACATACGGACTTCCGGTGGGACGGCGCGCCGATGGCAGCTCTTTTTGGAGCTGTCCTCTTGGGAAGGCGTCAGAGCCAGCATGAACAGCGGTCAGCAGCTGTTCAGCGGCTTGGAACCTTGTGCCCCGGGAGAAGGGGTCGAGGTGAGTATTCCTGAATAGGAGTAGAGTCCCAAAAGCTCTCCCCTTTATTTTGGGAGAGCGGAATTGGGTACTCCTCCGGAGTCCGGGAAATCTCCGTCTCCCAAGTGCCTTTGTTCCCTCTTTTTTGGGAACAAAGCCAGTCGTTGCCTCCACTTCTGTGAATTACAGAGAACTGTGAGTAAATAATAACCAGATGGAACTGACCAGGGGAAA